CTCACCCAACCAATCATCAGAAATCAGACTAGTGACAGTTCACGCCAAGGCACCATTTGACCAATCAGCATGGGGCTATATACATTTACACACACATATATATATGACTGAAGGTAAATTAAAGTCAGGCCAACATGGAAAGCATTCACCTTCGATAAAACAAATGTCATAATTAGCTGACACATGCCCTAGTTCTGTGTAATTGATATTGATATACTATAATAGTATATCCCACTGCAATACATATATTAAAATGTAATATCACAGAATGCTTAAATTCCTGTTTTGAATATATCTGACAACTCCTATTTCCAATTTCCCCAAACATATATTCCATGGTCCCCGGGTCCAAATGAATCAGAAGTAATTCATTATAAAGTGTGGAAAAGGCATGCACCGCCTATTGATGAGAAAATACATATTCATCACAGGCAATGGAGCAAGACAGAATCACAACATCTGTTTCAAGGCTCCATTAGCAGAAAAAGACTGTTAAGTTCAAAACCTTGAGGATGAATATGGCGAATACATTTAAGGGAGTCGATCACGCACATTTCCAGGTTTAAATTTTTATCCTGAGCATGAACTGGGATATTTTGAAGGCTTTAGCTGGCCTTTTTGTATTTTTTAATGAACCTTTACTGCATGAGCTTTTAAGGCCCTTGCATGTTACAAAAATCATGCAAAAACCAAACAGGTTGCACTTTCCCAGTTCTTGTAACATTCCCGACTATGCCGTGATGCTAATTCTTTTTGTTCTAGCCCTTCTATTTTGTTGTTCAGTAAATCATCTGCTGCTTTTTAACATTAAGAAAAAAGATGCACTGATGTCATGAGATGAGCGAGGAGCTGTGGTAATGCAGTCGGGACATCCCTTGGGCCTGAGAAGAGCCATTTCAGGCTCTTAAAGTATTACAAGAGTTCACATGGACAACTAGTAAAACAAATGTCACTGTGAGGACTAAAAACTCACATGCTCATTGAGCAACTTGTATGGTTCCTGAATCACTGGAAAATAATAACTGGTTTACTATGACAACGTATTTTTTAAAGCATGGTAAAAGTATTTCTTTATAAAATAATGTGGAATCAAGGCTATAAGCTGCAGGCTGTAGTATCTTTTTGCAAAACTGGAGTTTTTTATGTTCTGATACAAAGAGAATATTGCAATTCCTGGTTAAATAAAGTAAAATATCCATTCAATTTCACTATGATTTTATGACTTTTAATTTTACAGTCCTTGCACTAAAGATCAGTGTATTCATGGGGGATTTACAGAAGTTTGGAAAGTGCAAGGGTTGGAAAAAATGTAAAATGTATGCAAATCAATTTTAAAACTTTTTTTTTAAGACAGCTCGGAGAAACGTCACCCATCTGAAATTTCTAAGGCCTTTCTTGCTGCATGTTGTAAAGGCAGCAAAGGAACAGAAGGACTTGTACACATTTAACGTTGTATTTTGTTTTTTAAATATTGCTATTTATATCAATATTATTTTGAACAATATATAGATAAAGGTATACATACGTAGATTATTTTATATGTTTGGAAAATAATCCCCAAAAAATTCGGAACACCTTTCAGCTTTGGGAACACCATCATTTCTGTCTGTTTCTGCTCGTTTGTGCCTGTCTCCCTCCTTGTTCTCACCCAGCTTGCCAGGAAGCAAAAAGCTGACATCTGCAATCATCAGTCTTATTCACCAGCCTTTACCACCTTCCAACACTTCCTTTCAGAAATCCGACTCGACATGACGTCCGAATCAATTAGATTAAACGTCTGGTTTGTCAACTTTATGAAAGGAAGAAGAAAAAGTCTAAAAAAACTAATGTGTGTACAACAAACACAGTAAAATGAAAACTAGCAAATCCATATTATGCAACTGCTAAAGCAATTTTGAGCAATTATTGTAAATCACATCCTATTGTATGAGATGAACGATAGTCAGAAAAGCTCACTTCTGGCTCTCTTTATCCATGTTATTGGGTGTGTTATAATGGCATTTAAATACCAACTTACCTAAGTAAAAAAATGTGCTTAGATGTGTTTTGTGGACTTCAACTTAAAGGTGCAGGTGACTTATTTTCTCAATCTATTTACAATGGTCTCTAGTATGAATAAATGCCTTCTAAGTCATTCTTGGGGGGAAAGAATATTCCGGTCTACTGTGAAGTGCACTTGGAGGAAGTGCGCAGTAAGGCTTGGAGTGTGTAGTACACAAGTATGCAAATAATTGCCAAATTGGGACACTGACTATCCGACGCATGTCGGTGTGCCGGTCACCGTTTGTGCTTCTTTTGTTTTGACGGTGGCACAGGAGTTAAGTGCTCGCCCCGTAATCGGAAGGTTGCAGGTTCGAGCCCCGCTCAGTCTGTCGCTGTCGTTGTGTCCTTGGGCAAGACACTTAACCCACGTTGCCTGCTGGTGATGGTCGGAGGGACCGGTGGCGCCAGTGCTCGGCAGCCTCGCCTCTGTCAGTGCGCCCCAGGGCAGCTGTGGCTACATCGTAGCTCATCCCCACCAGTGTGTGAATGTGTGTGTGAATGGGTGAATGACTGATTGTGTTGTAAAGCGCCTTGAGGGGTTCCAGGACTCTAGAAGGCGCCATATCAAATACAGGCCATTTACCATTTTACCATTCTTTTGTAAAAACTCTTTACTTCCAAACCGACAATTGACAAAATTTACATTCTTGCCTACATTAAATTGTTGTCTAAAACATTGAGAGCATGAATAAATATTAATAAATACATATTTTCAGAAAAGGGACTTGAGCCTTTGCTTTGCCTTCTTCTCAAAGGTCACACAGAGCAATGGATTGTGGGTAATACTCTTCTCTAAAGTCTGTATCAATGCAGACTTGGGTGAAGTGCGACTCATGGTTGCAAAGGGGCGTAGTCAACTTTCGCACTTGAGAATCGGGACACCCTATTCACTCGCGCCCCTTAATGAGATGCAATGGAAGAGCACAAGGGTATTGGGTTTGGGCCGTAGACGGCAGGATTTGGAGTCTCATTTCCTGATATTTGGACATCTATCCTCCGACTGGATAACAACAATGCAACTCCACCACTGACTTGTGACTTGGATGTTTTATCTCCACAAATAACACAAGCCTGAAAGAGTCTTGCCATGCTTTAAAGTTGCTAATACTTGTGGTTAGCTTCCACTGGTTGGGACATTGTCTGCTGTTTCCTGGTCACTAAAACAACAGCCCTCCCTGTCATGAGCCAAGATGGGCCAGTCCGTAAATGTTAAGTGACGGTGTGATGTAGCTTTGAGAATTTTCAAATCCTAGAGTCCACCATCTATTTCCCATCAGAAGCTAACGCAGGAGATCGGTGTAGGAGACTATTTCTATGTTCAGTCTGAATGAAAAGCTCAGTGACTGAATATAATCAGAAATAATCATTAAAATTGTTTTTTTTTGGGTCAACCACACATTTAAAGCTAAAATGTTTAGCGCTAATATTTTTATGTGGTCATTGATCATGACACTTCTTACTCATACTTTCTCTTTACTTTGTGGTTTTTCTGCACTTGCATCATTTGTTCTCTCTGGTTTCGACTTCATTCATATCCTCTGTCTTTCTAAAACCAACCACTAGATGCCATCAGGTTTTCCCAGCACAGCACAATAACCTGTTAAGCTCCTCTACGAACACATTTCTGCACACCCTTCTTCTACATAATGCAACTCTCATACTTTCCAACTGCTGCACACACGTTTCTGTTAGCTTCTTTGTCTTTTGAGCATTTAGGGTCCTCTGTTACGTTCCAAATGCACCCACATGTGACAGATTTGAAAAAATCCTGCGGAACCACCAACAAAACCAAAACTAGTGATCAAAGGCAGATTTATTCAAGGAGATGTATGGGTTGCTTTGTTTCCACTGAAAGTTGAAAATTCAGAGAGAAAAGAAAAACTCATGTTTTCTGGTTTGAGCTTAGCCTAAATTTTTACTTCTCATTAGACTTCATTAGTCACGTAAAGCGGAACTGAAATATTCCCTCAGGATGAGGGAACGCTTACGGCACTTAGTCAAAGACCCGCTGCTTTGGCCAAAAACAGACTCATGTCTTTAGAGTGGTCCACTTAAAGCCTCAGCCACACAATAACCCCATACACACTAACACGAACACACACTAAGTCACACCATAACACCTCATTTTTCACCCCTCCCTTCCCGTCACGCCTCCAACCAAATTAGATTGTGATTGCTCTTTCCGAGGTCACTTTTAATTAAACTGAGATGAGAACATGACACATGGGATTAAGCTCTATCCTACCACTACAAATTATGAATTCATAACTAATGCTGCAGCCTATTGCTTTCAACCATGACCTCCATATCGTTTATGCAGAAGAGCAGAGGAACTCCTCTAATTGTCTTCTACAAAGATAAAGAGCATGATGGGAGATGGGGGTGTGAGTGTCTATACGCGTTTGGGTTCAGATTCCGGGGTGTTGGAAGTAAGTGGCTGGAACATATGTAAGGATGAAAATTAAATCAAAGCATTGTACAGTACTGTTATATAATCGGGTTTAATTTAGGGTTGTTGTACAGAGCACTTTGAATTAATCCTGAAATACCACAGGAGAGGAAGAGAACTGAAGGCGATTTTTACATTCTCATACCAGGTTCAGGGCTAAACCACTAATACTTAAGTGGATTCCAAAGTAGAAACCCTCATTATTTTAGGTAATGTGGTTAATAGGGACTGTGAGCTTACATCAAAGTCAAATGCACTATAACTTAGCTCAAGTGGTATGTTAAAACTGCTTGGTGGACAACAAAATGTGGGTGTGCTGATTAAATTAGACTTGACAAGAGAATAAATTCTTGCTAAATTCCAGTCCAGTTGGAGTTACCTGGAACATTCCTGCATCCAAATATTTGGATCCAATTTAGATCAAAAACTGCAGAAAGCTTGTGCTACTACTGTTAAGTGCAACATTTGTTTACATAATGAAGGTATCATTGCGTTTGCTCTTCCTTACCTCAGTGATGAAAGCCTTGGCGGTAGCAGGGCTCATGAACAGCACTGCTCTTCGTAGCGTGTCTCTGTAGCGGTGCAGCTCCTCCACACGCATTGTCCTGAACAGACTCGTGATCATCATGTTGATATTAGATTCCACCTTCTGAAGGGACACATCCATTCCGTGTTGTGAAGTACGGTCCAGGAAATCCTCGATGCCTCGTATGTCTGGAAAACACAGATTCAAATGAGTGACGACATTTGGAGTCTTGTGCAACATTGAAATTTGTAAAAGGGATAAACAGGATCTGGAATAAACATGGGAAATGATAGAAACTTCTTGTAAACACAAATATTAAGTATCATCACTGACAAGTTTGCAGCGTTCCTTTTTCTGTTGCAGCTAATGTGATGTCGCCCCGCATGAGTAGTTGCAGTAAACATCCAAATCCATCAGCTTTTATTTACAGTTATTCCTCACTCTTACTGGATATGGGCAGTTCAGACTTCATACATCATGCTAATCTGACATGCAGCTCTTCTTGTCAACAGTGTATTTATCAAAACTAAAAAAATAATCCTATTTAGAAACTTGAATGCACAAAACATTCAGTAGATTTGCCCTTAGGGAAGACTGTAGCTCAGATGATTGGAGCGTGTAGACATGTCCTTAGGCAAAACTCTGTAGCCCCAATGTCTACTGCCTCCAAAACACATCTGAGTTAGAATAGCAAACCTTTTAAAATTCCTTAAAGTAATTAAAGCAGCTTTCCAGAGTTTTCCCCTTTCAGAAATTATGTATGATTTTTCAGAAATACGTAAAAGTGATTATCTCATCATGTACTGTGATAAAATGTAAGTGATACGTCTTTCATTTATTTATTTTGCTAAGCACGCCCCGTACCCCACAGAGCTCCGTGCAATAGAAAACTTTGTGTGTATCATTCATCCATTCACACACACATTCACACATTGATGGTGATGAGTTACGATGTAGCCACAGCTGCCCTGGGGCGCACTGACAGAGGTCTTACCCAACAGTCAGCCTGGCGCATCTCTGACTCGGAAGCTCCGGTGTTGTGCACAGTTAACTCCGGTTGTAGCTAGGTAGCTACCTCCGTTAGCTTAGCTCTCACCTCCGTGTTAGCTTTGGGTTAGCTTGTAGCTTCATCGCTTCAGTTCGACAGGTCTTGTCATTTGATCCCAGCTTTAAAGCCCCACCCTCAGCTCCACCTCTTTTCCCTTTTGTGGAATTGTCTGGGCTTGACGGAACCTTTGACATGGTAAAAATGGCGGTGATAGCCACCTCCCATTTTGGCACAAAAACTTATTACTGGAGCCTATGGACACAAATTGTCCAGTATATATGTCGATGCTTACAACGCATTCATTCCTACCTGAGATAACTGCAAATGTATAGAATAAATGAGTGTTCCACACCTTTAAGTTTCCGTCATCATGAAATCTCATTAACAGCTGTATCTGCAGACTTGTTTTTGGAATTAGAAGTATGTCAGAGGGGAGGTGAGCAGAAGACGGCAGGATTAATAAACTTATTTCCAGATATCCGGACATCTAGCCTCTGATTGGATAACAGCTATGCGACTACCATTGTCTCCGTTTGCTTTACAACATTGATGTTTTATCTCCACAAATAACAGTCCTGAAGGAGTTCTGTTGTTGTGGAGTTGCTAATGCTAACAGTTAGCATCTACTAGCCAAGACGGGCTCTGCTGTCTCCTGGAAGCTAAATCAACACTCTTCTCAGCCACAAGCCAAGATAAGTGAGTCCATGGGTACTAATTTTCAATATGACAAATCAGGGGCGTGTCCAGGGAGTGGTCTGAGGTAGCACATGCCACCATTGAAATCAGATTGGCCACCCCACTGAGTTCCATTTCACTAGAATGAAAAAAATAATTATTTTGCGAGGGATAACCATAGGTGCCACCCATTCATAGACAAGTGCCCCACATGGGCCACCCCCTTTTAAATGGCCTGGACACACCACTGTGACAGATATGTCTGGCTTTTCTAATCCAAGAAGCTCCCTGCCTGTTTTCTATGGGTGGTTAATGCAGAAAATAGCAGTAGAAGACGCAATTAGCCTGCATTAGAAACTCAGAGTGACCAATATTATTTTAAAAAATAACAAGTAAAAACTGTTTCTCAGTGAACTTGAACTTTAACACCATTTTTGTTAATCTGCTTTCTGGGTGCCTCCATTTTTACCCGCTTACTCACTTTCAGTGTAGACAGGACATGTACTACAGCTCAACGTTCACAAACTACTTATCTTTCTTGGATACTTCCCAAGTTACATGAAGCGAGGCAGGAGTCACTTTCCCAGTGGCAGTTGTTGCAGATGAGAAGATTGCTGATGTTGCAGTGAGAAGCATCTTCAAAGTCACAATCTTCCCTTTTCTTGTAGTGCCATTAACTGGGCACTATGCACTAAAGCTATTAAACTTCATCTTGTGATGCCTTCAGGTAGCTATCAAGTAACAGAATTAAGTTAATTTATCAACCCATGGCCTCACTCTTATTTTCAGAGAACCTGATCACACAGCCACTACCCGATGTGCATTGTTTAAATAAGTTAAACTAATACAGCTTGTCGTTGAATGCGTAAGAGTGACCAATGCTTAAAATGTTCTGTAAATGTGTAAAAAATACATTGTGATATGTTTGATTTACTATATACTATCAAAGTAACACCAACCTAGGTACCAACCACTATTCTTCTTCTGGCTCTTGGAGGGTGAAGATGCTTTTTTTCCTCCTCTCCTCCATATCTTATCCTCAAGGCCTTTGTCTGTCTGTGTGTGCTGGGTGCACGGCTGCTTCTACATTTTTCTGGAAACTGGAAACTGAAATTAACTTAAATGGATCTCGTCAGTTGGTCTCTCAACACGATTGATAAAATTTTTTCAACGATGAGAACGATGAGAAGGGGCTTCCGAATGCCCCACTGGGACAGACCTAGTTGGACACATCATGGACTCCTGGAAACAGTGGAACTTGATTTGTTTATCTCAGCTGTCTGTGGAAGACTCTGAAGACGTGTGGATATTCGTGGTGTTGGTGTCAGGTTTCCTGCTCATTTGCCTTGGAGGCTACCTGGCTTACCGGAAAATTAACAAGCTGTCGAGGAATATTGGCCTGATCCCGGAGCTCAGAGATGGTTTGCAGCGCGCTGTGAATTCACAGACTCAAATAATTGTCAAGATGAATCGTAAGCTTGGGACTTTGGCGGAGATTCATTCTTTGGCACAAAAGATGGAGGTCATCCAGGAGAGAGTGGACAAATCAGCACGGATTGGGATAGATTAATGTCCATTATTGGGATTTTGAGAGCTTGAGGACCAACAAACTGTAAGACAGAGAGGAAATTATCTCTGTCTGGCCCCAAAACAATTTCTAATCGGAATCTGGCTCCCTTAAGCCTGCAAGGCTCCAACGAAAACTCCCCCTCAGATGATATGTGAGATGTGCCGTCGCTATGGCAACTCAACTCTGTCTCCTTTCCCAGCTTGGGCGGGACTGCGGGAAGGCCGCTGAAACGTTCCAGGGACACTGCAACCCTCCAACCCTCAATGCTCCTCCCCCATCCACACTGAGATGACATGCACTGCTTCTATCGTGGCTGCAGAAACTGAAGTGGGGATAGTCCCAACCCACCACCCCACCTAGTGGACACGTGTTGTCTGAAGTCTGTTGCATATATGTTTGAGGTGTTTTTTTTTTTTTTGCAGAGCAAAGCTGCCCTCCCGGTGGAGGGTAACTCTGAAGTGCCTTTTTTCCCCTCCACCTGAACCAATCCTCATGTAACCCTCTCATCTCTATTAAGGTAGCGCGACTCAGGGTTGCGAATGACCACAGTCACCAATTCTTGTCATGTGTCTTGCCCATGTATGTCTGATCTCTGAATTGTGTGCACTGAAACTCTAATTTCCCTCTGGGATTAATAAAGTATCTTTGATTTGATTGATTGATATAAAAAGTTATTCTGTATGATAACAAAATCAGCATGTGGGTGTTGGTATTTTCACTGCTACTCATCTGTTTTTAATGAGATCCATTGCAAGTCAAGGTAATCCTAATTAAAGCACTTTGGTTGAGACCACGGCTAATGATGTCAGAGAGAGAGAGAGAGAGAGTCCATGAGTGCCGAGCTTCAGTATGTAAAGCATCTACCTAATGATCTATTTGATAAGGAAAAATGGATGACACTGTCGTCACGGGCAGTGTCACATATGAGCAATTAACTGGATTGATTAAAGCTGTTAGGAGTGAGAGTGCTCCGGCAATAGTGATTCCATCAAGGCTTAAATATGAAGGTGCAAAATATTGAACAAAATAACAAGCTATAACAAGTTTTTCTTGAAAACTAAATTCTGTGAACACACTCGCAAAGAGGTCAACGATTTTACTAATATCTGAAAAACACTGAGTTTATAGTGTGGGAAGACTTTTAAGGTTGGTGAAGTGATGGGCAACTTTTTGATGAGAATCAGCGTAAGTAAAAAAAAAATTCTGAAATCCAGAAGATCCATAAGAATCAAACCTAGAGGATGGTGTTTTCAGAAAAGAGAATAAAGGTTGTAAAATGTGTGCTTTGCAAAAAAATAAAAAATAAATAAATAAATAAATAATAATTCATTGAATTTCAAATGTGAAGGCAACCAGGTCCAATTTTACACATTTATACTCAAAAGCATCCTTGTTCTCGACATCAAAGTTAGGCTGAATCCCAGTCTTCTCTTTTTCAAAGGACAAGGATTGAGCATGTGCCGCCCCACTACTGAGCGGATCATTGACTTCGAGACACTTTCCATCAAGGTGCTTTAGGACAAGATAGTGGATAAAAAGATGAGTAAAATTGCTGCCGTCCTTGCCCACCCAGGCAACCATCTGTTAGAGAAATATTCCTCTGGAAGACAGTATCGGTCCATTAACGCCATGACCACCCATCATCTGAAAAGTGTATTTTTTTTCTTCTTCTAGAACACTGTCACCTCTCAACCAGTCCTCCCAATTCCACCGTGGCAAGACAAAATGGAAGACTTTGTTAAAAGGACTTTGTTAAAAGGTGAAATTATGTCTCCAGCCACCTGGATGAGTTTCACGGCTCGTTAAAAAGCCAAATCCCCGATGAACTTTTATATTTTGTGCAATGTATTTTCTTTTTTCCCATTTAAAATATTGAAAGGGTTAAAATTTGTAAG